TGCTCAGAAATGTTTACATTTGTAATGTCCTTTTATTGTTTTGAACAGGTGTCTTCAGGCTGTTGTCACCCACAGGTGCTTGCAGGCCACATCCACATTTCACACTACAGTCTTTCAGTCAGACTCCAACAGAACCTGTGTGGTCCGCTTTGGGAGGCAGAAGTATGAGAGGATGTATCCGGTTCTGTTGGTGAGACCTGATGGATCCACCATCAACATCAGATATAAAGAGCCCAGAAGAATAATGAAGGTTAGTGGTTTATATTCCAGTTTCCAAGCTTTTTTGTTAAAGGTACACACTTCACCCAAAAAGGAAAATTCTGCTATTATTCACTCAATATCATGAAGAACTGTTATACAATGGTAGTTCAAAATGTCATCAAGTTTAAAAAAAAAAAGGTCTTTGGGTGAGTGTTTTGAGTCAGTTATCAACAGTTTTTACTGTATTTTATTTTTCCTCCTAGATGCCCGTGGACATCACCACCCTCTCGGAGGAGGAGAAGAAAATCAGGATGCGGAAAAGAGAACCGAAGAGGGCAGCGAAACAGAAATTGGACGATTTTGAGGATGATTTCAAAGTTGATGATTACAGCAAATTCTGGAAGAAGAAATAAATGGACTGACATTCAGAGTATTTATGTTGTCTCACATGTACAATATTGCAATTTTGTTTTATATGTCACCCTGCAATTAAAAAGTCTTCAAATGTTTGTCATTCTCTTGATTTTTTTATTTTTTAATTTGGGGCTAAATTGCATCATTTTTATTATTATTAAGTATTCTTGTATATACTGTACTAGTTAAAACATTTTCACAATTTTTCTAAATTTTTCCTGTTTTTATGGAATTAATTCATTTAGATTATTATGCTAAATAACCCCACAAAATTATATATTTTGTATATAAAGACATGTAATTGCTTTTCTAAAACGTAAACCGTTAACTTTAAAATATATTAGTTTTCAGTGTCCTCACGTGGTGATGTGTAGCTGTCATATAATGCGTAACTCTCAGCATTGCATTCTCAGCATTCTCTGGAACAGGCTGATTAATTATTAATGAATTTAGCACCTGCTTCAAAGTTCACACTTTTGCCTCAGGCATTGTACAAAATGCCAGCTTCACCTGAACTTGTAACGGGCACCCCAGAGCCCGAGGTGCCCAGGAAGTTTACTTTGGAGGCTGCTGATATTGCTGTGGTTGTGATCTACTTTGTGTTTGTGTTGGCAGTTGGAATATGGGTAAGTGAAAGTCTGCAGCCTCTCTGGTAATATTTGCATTGACCTAGAGAATTCCGTATGCCTAATTCTTGATGCAGAGATGGAACTGCTGTGTTTTTGATTTGTAGTCTTCAGTCAGAGCCAACCGGGGAACAGTGGGGGGATACTTCTTGGCCGGACGATCCATGACATGGTGGCCTGTGAGTTTTTGTGTTTACTCGTAATAATGAAGCTGGGATGCTTATTTTGTGGATGTCTACAAGGAAGCATCTTGATTTTTAAAGTCCTTGCCTGGAATTACAACCAGGAAAGCAGAAATAATAAATCAATCCAATCTCCTAAGGGAATTTATTTCATGTAAACACATTATGAAGTGAATGTGTTTTGTGTTAAATTAAATTAAATCATATACAACAGTTACACACAAATCATATTTACAGAAGATTCATATTTAATGTGAAGACATGTCTCTTTCAGCTTGATTTATCATAGTTTCATTTAGTTTTGGGAGTTTTCTCTCAGTATGTCTCTCTTGTGTTATGTTTCAACAGATTGGAGCCTCTTTGATGTCGAGTAACGTAGGCAGCGGGCTGTTCATTGGATTAGCAGGAACAGGAGCTGCAGGGGGACTCGCAGTCGGGGGATTTGAGTGGAATGTACAGCAGACAAATCAGTCCTCATCCTACAAGCTTTTAGTGTTGTTTCAGTAATTCCTGATTTAATTTGTGAGATTGTTGTTGTCTTAGGCTAATCAAATGTTTGACTGTTACTGTATATTGCATCAAATGCTGAAACAAAACAAGTGTGATGCTCTTTAGGCAATATGGGTCCTCATTGCCTTGGGCTGGATCTTTGTGCCTGTGTATATTTCTGCTGGAGTAGTCACAATGCCAGAGTATCTGAGGAAGAGGTTCGGGGGTCAGCGCATCCGCATCTACATGAGTGTGCTGTCTCTCATCCTCTACATTTTCACCAAGATATCAGTAAGACTCCTTAGTTTAATAAATGTGAATTAAGTATTATTAAATAATATATAATAATTATGATGTATTTGTTATATATGTATTAAATATAACATATTCAATATAACATTTGATTTGTTATATATTTAAAGAAAAATAAAATAACAGTACATTAAAACAAACAGAAACTTTACAAAACTAGAAAAAAAATAGGATCTCATTATAATTAGAAAAAAGTATACTATGACAAAAAAAATGCAAATTAGAAGGAAAAGAGGACTACATTAACTATATATTGTTTTAAATTTACGTTTATATTAATGATATTGTAATGATAAAAGCGACTAGTATGAATGAAAAAAACATATGTCTACTCGTGTGATATTGCTCATATATTTATATTTGTATATAATATATACACTTGCAAAGATCTGATGAATTTTATATATATATATATATATAT